CTGGATCTTTTTCAATAAAACAAGTTGTTAGCAAATGATCTTTTAACCATTGAACAGCTTCGTTTTTATTTATTGCATTTATATTGAGAAATTTATGCTTTCTGTTTGATATAAAAAAAATATTCAGAAGTCTTTTCATATGTAAATTTAACAAATAATACTCGAATATAAAGTACTTGACAATGAGTATCCAATAATAAATGACATAATGAAATATATATTTTTCTTCATTGAAATAATAATAAACTAAATAGAGTTTACGAATTGTTTTATTTGTTAATTTGAATAATGATGACTGAAATGATAATGATATTTCTTGATAAGCAATTAATTTATCTAGATTAGGTGCCTGATCAAGTAAAATTTGTAATTGAGAATAATAAGTATCAATATAAGATATTATTTTAAGTGAATAGAGTCGTTATAGATTTGGAACTATAGACCAAAATTGATTATTGATAGGAAGTTGTATTTCGAATTTCTGAATGTTTGGTAAACTAATATTAGAAGATATTGGCGAATTAAAAAAATCTATCAAAATTGATGTTAGTTCTAATCTTTAAATTGATTAATGTTGGAAAAGAAGAAGATGATGATATATAATTATCAGTGGGACAAGAAAAAATTGTTATCGAAAGATATTTCAGATAAGATGTATATTTAAATAATTTATTTATCTGATTTCAAATATCAGTATTATAATAAATAAGTTTAGGTAAATTCCATATAGTATTGACAATTGATTGTTAACCTGTTTGATCATATATTGAAAACGAAAAGAGCAAGAATAAAAATTAAAATAATTGAGATGATTAAGATAATGACATTCATCATTGATGTATAATATGAATGAAGATGAAATATTAAAAGTGATCATAATTGAGTAAATTAACTAAATGATAGTATGTAAAATCGAAATAGATTTATTTGTCCTGAAGTATTTTCATTATCGAAAAGACTAAGACTAATAATTTGATCAGTAATAAATGATAGATGTTGTGAACATATTATATCAAAATTATGTTTTGATATTGAATTAAAGTTAAAATGATAAGATCGATATTGTTTGTAGAGAAGAGAACTGAAATCATAAAATATATGAAGAAGATCAACATCATTAAAATAATCGAATAGATCGAGTAAAATTTCATTGAATAATAATTCAAACTTCATCTCGATTTTTTTTTCACTTCACTTATAATTTGTGATAATGTATTTAATAAAGTAGAAAATAATCTTTCGTATTTGATAAATGTAAACGAGAAATAAAGGTTGTTTGGGTATGGGTGTAACTACTCCATTCATCTACACCCACACCCTATTTGATAGCATGAGTTTAAACAAGTGTCGACTTGAAAAAGGATACTAGAGTATAGGAATTTCGTTTATTTTGATTTTTACATAATCATATCTTTTCTGTTGTGAAAAATTTTCAATCAATGCATTGCAAATCTTATAAATACAAAACAAATACATGTGCATATCACACAAGTCTTATGTATTTATTAAAGAATATACGAAGTTTTCTTTCATTCTATAACCAAATATATACAAAACCTTTTTTCGAAATAACAAAGAAGTCATGTGTTGCCAAATAAGGTACATATTGTTTCAGCCATAAATAGGGTGATCGTAGCAGTTGTTTCCTTACATCCCCTTTTCGAGGTATTGTGATGTTTATTCGTATTATTTTTCTATCGAGTTGAATTCTTTCGAAAACTGTTTGTAACAATAGAGCATCGAATACATCGACTGTTTTTATCGATTGGTCTGGATAAAGTTGAATCGTGCAAAGACTTGGTATAAACACTGATAATTCAATTGAACGCAAATCATCATGAATTTTACCTACATTGCTGTATATACAAAATTTGCTTTTAGGAATATACAAGTGTCTAAACCATGAGTAATGTATTAGTTTAGGACAGAAACATAACGATATTAAAGATGAACGAGATTGAAATGAACATAATGGTTGCATTTGACGCTTGATATCATTTGATAAGCAATAAAAGATACCGTTAGAATCCGTGACTGTTACAAACACGTTCGGAAGCCAATGAATATATTCAGCAAGAAGCGTTGGATGATGATGATGAGCAAATCCAACTGGCAACGAAAGGTTCAGACGAACAATGGATAGATTATTTGTGGATGACAAAAGTGTTTGATGCCAGACATTACCATTCAGATAAGTTGAATCGACTAAATAATGAGAGACAGAAGAGTTAATCAACTGAAAGTTATTTCAAGTTTTCACATTTTTTCAACTTCAATAACTTGTAAAACAAGTCTGATTTGTCTTACAGAATTTTCGACTAATATATAAACTTTACTTTGAAAAGTTCTAGGAGATCAGCGTGTAGAAAATCGAACTTAGATATCTGACATTAGGTGTGAAGAAGTCATTAATTATTTTCTCTTGTATTCGGATAACATTTACATTAGAAGTATTATTATTTCAAACAATACTCAAATAAATGGTTTATTGAGTTATCTCATGAAATAGAGGACATAAAACTTACATTGAGATATTTCAACTGAAATTGCATATCGTTGAAGTTGATGATTCAATGTTATTGGCAAACACATGACCACAAATTCACTAAATGGAACAGATTGTTCGTTGATATTCATATTGCTACCAATATACATTTGAAAATCAATTAGATGATCGAGTTGAACACGTTTCAATGTTGATATTGACATGATTCTCATCTTTGTTAATGGTTTGCTTATTGTCAATTGAAGATATTTAACATTGATTAAACGTGGTAATAATAGGACAATATCGTCATATAACATAACATGCAGATTAACATTGACAAGAAGAGGCAAATAGATAGGTTCAATGGACGGTGGACCATTAAGACACTGTTCATTTTTCCATACTCGAATACCATGGACATACTTCACAGTAATATGTATATGTGTGAGTTGAGAGGATGCATTGAGAAAATAATGATAAATGGACTTATAACAATGATCGTAGCCACTGTCGAAATGAATACGAAGATATTTGAGTGAAAGAGGTGGGAGTGGATTTAAATTAGATTTGACTGACCATATGACAAGTGTATCGAGCGATGATAGACATTTTTCTGAAATATAAGCAGATTCAAATGAATTTCGTCTTTCGATTTGTTCAATATCTTACCAAAAAGTGGATGAAGTAATGTATAGTGTATGGATTTTTGAATATGAAGTGTATGAGGTTTGAGCATGGGCAACCATTTGTCTCGATATTCTTTGAATTGAACATAGGTTAAATTTAATGGTAAATAAATATAGTAACAATAATCAGCAATCGTACGTCTAAAACGAATATTCAATAAATAGAATACATTCATTACTTCGAGCCAAGTTAGATGACGACAAACGAGTAAAAACAATTCATCGGGTATATCTTCGAAACGAATCACCATGGTATGTATGTGTTTGAATAGTTGTTTGCAATATGCAGGCTATATATACATCCTGTTTCGTGTTATTCATCACTGACGGACATTGTTTTCTATATAAGCCAATCATGATATTACACATCCTTGATTATTCTTTTATTTCATTTTAGTAGTTCAATGCTTGTTACAAGTGATCGTCGACGACTAGGCATTAACTGTTGATAGTGATCTAGACATGGCCTATTCCAAAATTCTAGAATTCTAGAATAATCACAATTCCAGAATGACTAAAATTTTTGCAATTTTGGAATAATCAGAATTCTCGAAATTTTGAAACGATCAGAATTTTCGAATTAACGCAATTTAGAAATAATCAGAATAATCGGAATTTTCCATAGTTGTTTCCCGTTGACCTTCAGCGAGAGAGATGCCATGGTTTCATCTGCAACCTCAGTGAGAAAGATGCCCTGCGTCTGTTTCGCCCTCACTCTCAAGAGGAACAGACGCCCTGTGTCTGTTTTCGTGGATGTTTCTGTTTTCATCTATATCTTTCATACCTCCAATATCTCCTACATTAAAACTTAAATGGTTTTCGGAAAATCAATAAAATACGTCTTATAATTTATCTACCTAACTATCTGTTTATCTATCAATCAATCTATGTCTTTATGTATATATCTATTTATTTATGTATCTATATATCCACTTATCTATCTCTCAATATATCTATGTATTCAGCCAATTGTTTATCCGAGACGAACTGGCCAAGATTTGACAGCAATGCCCTTAGTATTGATATTTACTGTGTTATTTCATCACTCCAGTCATTCGGTCGAAAAGCTTAGGAATAGTATCACTGGGATTTATCCTGTATTGAAATTCTGATTATTTCCAAATTCCGGAAATTCTAATTATTCCAAAATTTCGATTACGCCCATAATTTCAAAATTCTGATTATTCTAAAATTGCAAAAATTCGAGTCATTCTGCAATTGTGATTATTTCGGAACTCTAGAATTTTGGAATAGGGCCACTGCTGAAATAGTCTACCATACATTATCTTGGTAACAATTGATCAATCGTCACGAAAACAACAAATCCAGTTGTTAACAAGTCCAAATAGCAGCCTTTGTATATTAAGAACTAACATGTTGTATAGCACAATGAGGGTATGGGTGTGGGTGTGTGGGTGTTAGGTGTGGGTGTGGGTGTGGGTGTCGGTGTGGATGAAGACAATACCTACACTCACATCCACAGCCACACCCACCCACATCCACATCCACATCCACAGCCACACCCACCCACACCCACATCCACACGCACACCCACCCATAATTAGCATTACAGATTGCGGGAATCATTCCACGATCATATGAACATTCAGTAGTATGGCACGAGAAATTAAAGAATGTCTTGGTTATGATCTTTATGTTGTTTGGGTTGGTGTACATGCTGATGTTAACACGATAGAATAAACAACAGAAATTGGAAATTCATATGACATGCCATTGTTCTTCGTTCTTAGTCTTGTAACGAAGCATATTGAGGAATTAAATTGAATTTTACCTTGTTTGAAACCTGAAAATTTTATTTATATTGGTCTACGGGATGTCGACAAGAGTGAAAAAGAAATTTTAAAAAAATACAAAATTAAAGCATTTTCTATGCATGAAATTGATTGTTATGGTATTAGTCAAGTATTAGATATGACCATTAAACATTGATCCAAAGGTGAACATCCTCAATCATCTAATTTTCTCATTTGATATTGATGCTCTCAATCCAACTGTTGCTCGAAATATAGGTATTCCTATTCGAGTGGGATTAACATTTTATGAAGCTCTTCATGCAACAGGACGATTGGTAGCATTAGATATAGTTGAATTGAATTCTGCAATAGGTGAGAATAATGAAGATATAATTACTATTGGATGCGGTCTTATTCGGATAGCATTTGGTGAAATCCAAAAGTCGTGCGAGATGAGACAAAATTGAATTTTTCGGGACTGTCCAGTGGTATTCTACTTGAAATGCAACATAAAATAAAGAAGTATGTAAGTGTGAAGACGTGAATGGATGTAGGTGTGAATGTGGACTGTGGAGGGTTGGATGTAGAAGAAAGGAAGTCTTACATTTATACGCGTACCCACCCACATCCACCCTCTAATAGTTCAGTTTTGGATTTATGCGAAAGGATCAATGAAGCAAGTTGTTAATTTGAAAAAAAACTCAGTACCAATGTTTTGACTTGATTGAGATATATAATAGTTCATTGATACTTGCTGTAGGCAAGATTTAGGGGGTGGGTGTGGGTATGAATAATGAGTTCATCCACAACCCATACCCATATCCACACTCACATCCACACCCATATTAAAATCCATCGTCTTTTTTTTATCTCGATGTCTATCGCTGTATCAGGTTATAGTTATTCAAACGATTCTTTTGATGATTGAATCTAATTATTACATTAGCAACAAAAGGAATCTCTTCTCGAGATCTGCTGTAAATGATAATAAATTCTTTTTTCTAACGTTTGTACATATACTCTTTCAGTTGTATTACTGTTCCTTATAATAACACATTGCTCTTAAATGAGATAGTGTATTAAAACCATGGTCATTTCTTATAAATGCAATGATTCAAATCTCAGATAGATTTAGAATCATGTGGTTCAGTCTGTTCATCATAGATATTGACGAATTCTTCTACGTTTAACTTTTCCAATAGTTCTTGATTTCTTCTCAGTTTGATTACATCGAGAAAATTTTGTTCGTTGAAGTTTCTTCTTTGAAGATCAGATTTCATTTTAATGAGAAATTCGACTAATCGATGTCGACAACCACGAACTTTCAGACAGACATGAAGTAATAGATCGTTTCCATCTTCATCTAATTGATGAACAAGAGAGGGTGATAATCTTAATAAATATTCTAATAATTTCCGTTCTTTCTTTTGTAACAATCTGAATACTAGATCTTTACTAGTAACCCAAGGTTCTAATGGATTTTCATTCATAAGTGTTTTGAGTAGTTGTCGTTCTAGATGATTTCGTGTCATACTATTGACGATACTTCGACAATTGCGTGACTGATTAAAGAAATGTCTCACATGTTCAAGACGACGATAAATGAAAAGAATCACATCGGTCCGATTTTTATTTATCAATTTGTCAAGAATCGATTGAAATCTATCGTTGGCATTGTCTTGCCATGACGGTATTCCTGTTGAAATATTGATATCAGTGATAATTTGTAATATTTCCCATTGAACGTTAGCAATGAATATTCCATTTCTATCGACTGTGTCAGATGCAGGAATTAGGTATAACATATCGAAGAGACTTGCTTGAGCCCAATCTTCGATATTACACTGTAATCTTTGACATTTTATAGCAAAAAGCATCAAATTAACGACAGCTTGATAACATTTCATGTTAACAGGCGTAACACAGGAATGATAGCCATAATATTGTGCTTGACATATACTATAGAAAAGAAAATACCAAACAGTACAACCAGTATAGATAAAATAATCTCGATTAGACAGAAGACGAGGATTCGAAGAGATCAATGCTTTGAACATTCGAGTTTTCAAATGGAAAAGTTGTTGATCGTTGGAGTTCATGTTACTAAGATCAAAATGTAGTAGTTGATTGATGGCCATAGCAAGATTGAAGGTACTGTTTTCAGAATCGTTACATTCAAGACGGGCACCTCGTTTGAGAACGAGGAATTCTATTTGTTTCATATTATGAATGTTGATCGGATTATACTGCAAGTTGGTAAATGTTTGATATAGTTCATTGTCTACATCGATGATTTCATCATTAGTCAGTTGTTGACGAAGAACTTTAAACGTCGTCAGATTTGACTGGAGTTCATCTCCCAATTGCTTGTATAGTTGTTGGATATGAAAAATCGTTAACGACTGAAAATATTGATGAAGTTGTTGTTCATTTACTGTACCATTTACGGCTGACAGCTCGTAGGAAACTTTGTGAAACACTGGAGAATTGTAATAACTGTCAAAGAATGCATGTCGACTATGGATAGATAAAATATCAGTTAATAAATGCAAACGTTTATCGATGAGAATTCTATTGAGACGTTGATTTAAGCCAAGAAATAGTCGAAGTATTGTATGAACATCACCAGAATATCTGAAGATGATCATCAAAATTTCATCGGGTAATGTTTCGAAAGTCGATGACATATTTTGTGTTTCTTCAATAAACAATTACATTTGTTTTTATGTATCCACGTGTTCTCTCATCAGAAACAGCGTGTAATTGCACAATATTTCTCATATTCGTTCTATTATTTTTCTTCTGTTCTCTACATATACTGCCATAAAAAATGTGCAGAGTAGCTGAAAAAAAACCTTTATTAAGAAAAAGAAAATCAGTTTTAATCAGATTTGATTCTCACCGAAAATCCACAAGTGAATACAAGGAGAATTGGATTCATTTCTTGCAACAGCACAAGTTGAATCAAGAAAATTTTGCAAAAAATAAGAGAAGTTTATCCTCGATCGGAGATGATTCAAAATTCGAACATTCAGCACTCACAAGTGTGGCATTGAGTAGGGTGTGGGTGTAGTTATGGGATCGCTTTAATTACACCCACCCACACTCACACCTTCAATTTTTATATATTTAGATTTGCAATTTAATACAAACCGGGTCTAAAGTCTAACTTCAAGATAGACCGGGATCCGGATCCAGCAAAAGCTAAATTTTGAGACTTGGATTCGCAGCTCTCTAATTTTTCGTTATCGACCTTAAGCCACCCCGCTAACATCGCTAGAAAGCTGGAAATAGATTCGGTGATGTATGAAATTGCTTACTTAAAGAGAAACATATAAAACGAGTTGTTTGAAGACGAGGTTTAGTTAGTTCTAGAGCGAAATAGTCAAAAAAAACAGGTTTTGGGCCTTGAATTCCCCTATAAGAGGACAGAGAAATCTTGAACCAAAGATTGATATATATATAGAGAAAGAGATCGATGTAGTTTTTCATGCTTTTTCAGAATATGACCTCAAAAATAAGAAAAAAAATGAAGAAATCAGTCAAATCCGAGAAATACTGAGTTGAGACCAGATTTTGCGATGGGTTACGATGTTTAAAGAGCTCAAATAGATGCTCTACTTTCAAAGCGATATGATTTTGGTTCAGTTTAGTCTCTATACTCATATCTAATAGCGATACTGATCAGTGGAACATGTTTAACTGTCAAAATTCCTCCGAACGAGACTTGCAGGGCGCAGGCCGAAACTGACTGTCATAGTTGCCATCTACACTGTGGTAGTTAGTGAGGGTGGGAGTTCCGGAAGAGATTCACATACAAATGGACTACAATTCTCAAAAAAATAATCATTATTATATTGCCGACAAAAGAAACTCGCAATTAAATATAGGAATGTCTCTGTCAAATCATAACTGACTCCAGTATTTTTCCGATTTGACCAATTTCTTCATTTTTTTTCTTATTTTTGAGGTCATATTCTGAAAAAGCATGAAAAACTACATCGATCTCTCTCTCTATATATATATATCAATCTTTGGTTCGAGATTTCTCTGTTCTCTTATAGGAGGATTCAAGGCCCAAAACCTTTTTTTTTTTGACTATTTCGCTCTAGAACTAACTAAATCTCGACTTCAAACAACTCTTTTTATGTGTTTCTCTTTAACCTTTTGGATCCGGGCGACGCACATGTGCGTCCTGGGAGTTTGCACACTGAATACCTTTAAAAAACATGGTGCTTTAGTTATTTAATGATATAAATTGCATGAATATTTGTATTTAGGATATTTGTGCGGTTAAGGTTATCTATAATTATTGATAATTATGGGTTCTCCCTTAATAGGTCAGGTAATCAGCATATTATTTAATGAGTTCGCACATGGATCGGGTTCGTAACATTTCTGGAGAAAGAGCCGTCGCTCTCAAAGAGATATCTTATGCTACAAATATCGTTCAAGCATGAGAAGTGTAAGAAATATTCTGATCGACTGATCGCATTTGATGAGTAATATGAAGTACATTTTTCCGAGAGAAATTGTATGAATATATTGAATGTGATGTAGGGTTGTGTGTAATGGACTGTTTTAAAGATTATCATACTCTGAAAGTGTTCTGAATTACGTATTTGGTCATATTTTGAAAAAAATAAACATTGATTTGAAATTATAAATACTTCTAGTTTTAAAAAAATCTCGGACTCAAAGGGTTAAGTAAGCGATTTCATACATCACCGAATCTATTTCAAGCTTTCTAGTGATGTTAGGGGTGGCTTGAAATCGATAACAGAAAATAGAGTCCCTTCAGCATCCTACAATAAATCGAATTTTTCTTCAGTAAAATTCTGTTTTCTTCGAATATGAATCTGAAACTCGGAATCAGCTTTAAATTTCGCGTCTAATGATGCTACCTTCATTAATATTTGAGAAAAAAAATGTTTTCGACAGTCCTGAGGTCTCCTAAAGGTGCCTAATAACACACCGTGAAAAATGAAAATCACTTTACTCAGAGTTTTATGCTGATTCCGAATATATAATTCTTTTAAAAAAATATTTTGGACAAAAAAAATGCTCTTATCGATATTTGTCCTTTAAGAAATAAAAACTTATTTATCATAAAATTATTTATTTATTTTAAAAACTTTCATTCATCATAAAATTAATATTTTATTATTAATGTTAATTTGTCAAATTTGATGAATATATATTCAGGCAAAAATCATAATAATTCTATGAACTTGAATATATTTCATTGAATAGCTTGGAGCTGTGTTGATGATATGTTAAATTTTGATTTTGATCTAATTGAACAAGACCAGGTTGATGTTCACGTCCATTATGATGTTTTGCATCACCTAAAAAAAATTAATAGTTTAATTGTTCTTAAAGTTTCATTTAAGAAAAATTTCGATTAAACATTTGAAATTTCTCAAGAGATTATTTTAAAAAATGACTTACCCGTAGAGTTCAGCAATCCAACGGCAAATAGAGGATAATATTTTCCTGATTGTGAAAGTGGTTTTAATGTGTTAAGTTGTTTCACTCTTTGAGAAGTAAAATTGGACAAAGTGAACTGACAAGTAACAACACCATCTATAAATTTTCCAGGTAAAGGTATAAATATACCACCTTGTTCTGATCCAGCAGGTACAGGAGGTGTATGTTTCCTAGGATTTATAAATCGCTGTATAACAATTGTATCATTAGCAAATCGTTTACACATAAACACATGAGCTTCACCCTAGAAATGAAAATTTTATTCCTATACATATACTTCACATTCAAGGAAATATAATAATTTTAAAGAGTTAGGTGTGGGATAGAGAGAACATTGTATGTTTCTATATTCATTTTATTCATTAAAGACCAATATTGAAGAAGAGGATTATAGTTAATCTTTGCTTTCTAATGAAAAATAAAGGTCATAAAAATGTTCTCTTTGCCCCGATAGTTGTAAAAGTTATTCTTCTATAATCACCATAGATTGATTTTGTCCGAGACCCATAGCAGCATATTGTGATGATTTCAAATTGTTAATAGTCATATTAACATATGTGATATTGATTCTACTAATGAATGTCCATGTTACATTAACAATTACATTCTTAGCAGGTGGAGGATCTAGCACTAGGTTTGTGGAAACTATCGCAGCATCTAATGGAATTACTTTTCCATCACTGAACGATAAAAATATGAGTAAAAATGCAATGACAAATTTCATCTAAAATACAGAAAGAATATTTCAATTTCATTTTACCAGATTCAAGGATAAAAAAACAAAAGAAACACAGACTTGTTTCATATATCGGTTTTTCACAATTTGGTTTCATTTGCATGGATATACATGAAAATATCTTCTCATTGTCTGAATTATATAATTGATGTTGTGAAAATATTGTGCTTACATTCATCATAAATACACAAATAAGATAATAAAAAAAACAGCAAAAAGTTGTTTTTAATATAGATAAAAAGTACCGACCAGCTTGCTCTTCTGTTTTATTATTCTTTGAAGTATGATTACGTGGTAATATCATACAAATCTGTTGATACCATACAGAAACAACATAGATACATTGACCTTGTAGAACTTTTATCATTTTTCAGATTCACTGATGATGATGCGGTTAGAAAGACTGATAAGAACATACTAATTTTAGTTTGTTTGACAATACAAAGCGAATTTTCATATTTAAAATCGTGACAATGCATTATACGCAAAAGTACTCAAAGTAGAGGTGATTACAGTGTCAGTTAAAAAGATAATAGTACATATTCGAATCAAATGAAAGCTCTTATCACCAAACTAACAAGATTAAAATATTAGTAACTGTTGGCTTGCCTAGAGAGAGATATTCGATTTTAACGTTACTCACGATTTGAGTACATACCCAAGAAATCAGAAAATTGAAATTGACGCGTTAAAACGGCCGTTTTGCGTTTTGTCTTTAAATACACTTTACGCAGTCAAAAATGTCCGAATTTTCGCGTTTTTTTCTGATTTCACATCGTTAAAATGATGGAAGAGGCACACGCGGTTAAAACGCATCTTTAAGATTAACGGTGTAAAACGTGTAATTTTCGACATTTTTGACTGTGTAAAATGTGTTTAAAAGTTATCTTAGTTTTCAGCAAAATATAGCCCAGTTGTCATATTATATCTTCTGACAATTGCATCTTTCCGACTCGTATTCATGTTGTAGTAAACCAAGAGTAGTAACAATGATCTTTTTGGAGTTGACTCAAAACTTGCATCTATTCCACATACAAAACAAATGCTGCTTATCAGTCAGCACATGAATTTTGAGTTGGGTGTGGGTGTGTTTCCATTCTTTTCATACTCACACCCACCCACACCCCACACCCTCACGTCGCACCTAATGTGGGTGCCGCGAAACGAGTGGCCACATTACAACACACATCACGTCGCACCTAATGTGGGTGCCGCGAAACGAGTGGCCACAATACAACACACATCACATCGCACCTGGTGTGGGTGCCGCGAAACGAGTGACCGCAATACAATACACATCACGTCGTACCTAATGTGGGTGCCGCGAAAAGAGTGGCCACAATTTGACACACATCACATCGTACCTGGTGTCCCTATGCCGCTACAGCGGTGGAAAAATATACCCTTATACCACTAATACCGCTATACTGGTTGAAAGATATACCCTTATACCGTTTATACCCATATACTCCTATAGCTGTAGAAAAATATACCCTTATACCGCTATAGCGGTATAAGACCATCCTTCTGCTAGTTTTATATTGACTACGATTGGTTTGTTTTGGATTTTGTCGCAAATCCAAATCCACCACCGAGTCATCCCCTAAAGTGCTCCTAACACCGCTTCCGCGACTGTTAGCGACACCAGAGATGTTGCCAGCATGGCCTAAAATGCTACCAGCGTTATTTGAAATGCCTGAAGGATCGCCTGAGACGCTACTAGCATTATCTGGAATGCTGCTCGCATCACCTGACTTGCTAGGAGCATTACTTGTGATAGTAGTAACATCGCCTGAAGTACTCATAAAAACCCTGAGGCACTATAAGCACCACATGGAATGCTACTAGAATCATCTTAGATTCTACAACTCTCATCTGAAATGCTCCTAGCGTCGCCTAAAATAGAACGGATATCACACGGAATGATAGAGGGCACATCTGACACGTTTCAGTCATCAGTGGAACTCTTTAGAAATCGTTTTCTTGTAGCCCTCGAGAGTATATTATAGCTATAAATCTGACAAGCAAAATTATGCTAACCTATTGCGTATGCTTTGGCATTTCCCTTGCTTCGAATAATACTAGAGCCATTTCTAGTTTGGCATAGTTGTTACTCATCGGCCAAAAACAGGTTTTCCCCACGTAACTGACCTTTTGTTACTGCGTCCCGGCGTGGAGGCGCAAAGCGCCCTAGGAAGAACCGCGACTCATGCCCGTCTTTGTGTACACCGTAATGTGCAAAGTCAAATTGTGATTGCAATAATCATTTGGGTAGAATTCTTTTTTGCTTTTTTTGCCATTTTTACATGGGTGGACCTTTCTATTTATAAACTTATAATTTATATAAAACTATTTCTTTTGCTTTTTTGCTATTTTAACATGAGTGGACCTTTTCATTTATAAATTTATAATTTATATAAAACTATTTCTTTTGCTATTTTAACATGAGTGCCGCATTTTTTCCATTTATATTCGAACTCGAATTAGACATCTACTCCTTTCCATTGTAAGACAAAAGGATAGCTCTAGAAATCAAGAAATATGATCAATCAATCGTGGCATCAAACAATTCTTCAGCTTTTTTTACGATAACATTGAGTTGAATCAGCTAACGCATTGTTGTAAAATTATTCATCCGTTGTTTCAGTGTTTGATGAGTCTCTATCGGTTGATTCAACACTCCTATTTTTTTGAAACTATTATAGGCCATATTAAAACTCGAATATAGAGAAGAGCGATATAGATTATGAAAGTAGATAATGTGAGCTGTTGAACTATATACATATAATTGGTTAAGATTTTGTCGTAGTTTTACATAATTTAAATTTTAATACAGAAGTACCTTCTTTAAAAAAAACGGTAAAATTCATGCTTTTCAATTACAGTTTCTTCTACGGTACACAGCCGAAATTGATAAAATATATATCATTAGATAGAGCAAGTCTTCCTCTACAAATCTATACATATATCGCATCGTGTAGTCAACACCTGTCGCTACAACATAGCAGAGGCCGTTTTTTTTCTATTTTTTCCTATCTTGGATCTCTAGAAAATTTCTCAGACAAAATTCGAAAAACCAAGGTAGTCTCTTGAGATTAGCTAGTTTTTAGCAATCGTTGAGGGACAAGTTGGAAAATCGGGCTCTGTCAAGTTGTAAAGCTTAGCTTTGTCAACATTTTGACACCAATTCCAACTTTTTAGCGTTTAAATTGGCGAAGAAATCTAGGACATACAGAAATACAAAAGTTGAAAATTCTATTTTGAGAAAAGCACAAAACAAGTTTTAATATGAAGAAGGAGAGGAGGGGGGCTTGAGAGGTAAAATCTGGACTAAGACGAACTGGATCCGTAAAAGTTGTTTCGATTCGGTCTCTGTTTCACAACACGAAATTTGATAAAAATATCAAAAATAAACATTTGAAATTTCATAAAAACTTACAATTAAATTTTCCTGATAACAGCAACAAATTGACGAGAAGTGTCGAAAAGAAAAACAAAGAATCCATAAAATAAAATATACTAATATCTGTTATTAAATATATATTTAGTTATCTATTTTGATCAATTATTGTTTATTAATTAAGAGTATGGATAGAGATTGTTGTAGATGCAAATTGTTACTATATACAAAATAGAGTTAAAATCAATTATAATCATATTGCTTTTTTAACTAATTTAAATTCGAGATTTTTTTTCAAAAAATAAAAGATCACTTTATTAACAACCATTTTCATTCATTTATTCTTTAATCTAATCATGATCAACGTAAATATAACAAAATCTGTTTTTTTTTCATGAAAAAAGAAAACTAATAAAACAATATCAACACATCGAAACAACTAATAAATATTTTAAAAATAATCAGATAGTTCACTATCACTATTACTATCTCCACATCGTTCACATGGTAAAGTAGAACCCCAACTACCTAAAAATAAAAGAAATTAAAATTAAAATATATTCAAGTAAAGATTATTGACAATTACACATACATTTATCACAATGCCATACTCTCCAATCCATGCATCGCCGACATAAAGCACAATGCCAATCATTACCACTATCACAAACATCATCTTGACAAAATGAATAATAAAGATCCGTTGCTTGATTTGACATAAGATTTCGAAATAAATTTTGAATATCAATTAATTTTTCATTTTCATTTTTTTTCTTCCATTCTTTTGAATTATCATCATCGTTAAACGTTTCTGGATAGCTATGAATTTATATGATGAAAGTTTAATGGACAAAAAAATAAAAACAATTTACTTTTCAGATTTAATAATACGTTGACGTAGTTTTTCTCGATCAATCATTTGAAGTGCATCAGCATTTTTAACAGTTTTCTTAAGCCATTGTGCAAAACATGGATGAGCAGAATATTTTTCATTTTTACCAAAAAAATATTCAAGATGATTAAACATATTTCGACAAGTTCCATGACAACCACATGATGAATTACATCCACTACCATTTTTAAAACAAGAACAAGATCGAGTTGAACATCCTTTACGACAAGTACATTTTTCTGTTTCGTCATCGGATGAATTTTCTTCTGTTATTATATTGTTTGATTTTGTTTGTTGATCTTTATCAAACCACATTGTTAATGTTGAATTAATCAAAATAATCGATTGATAAAATTTTCTAAAAGAAAATATAAAACTATGAACGAACTATTTTTCTTTCTTTCTTTGTATATGAATACAGTGCTATATATGTAAGGGAAGTTAGCGAAGTATTCGAGTCTTTTCTAGATCGATTC